GGGCCTGGGGCATCTGGAGTGGCCATGGGAAGAGGGAATCAGCCTGTCATTGGGAGGGAGACAGGGGCTGGCCCAGGGCTGGGAAACACCGTGGTGAGCTGGGCACCGTGGGGCTGCGCCATGCCAGACAGGATCCTTTCTGGGCTCCAGACTTGAACTCCAAGGATTAGGCCCAACAAGGCCCACAGGACAGATGAAAAGGAATTTCAATGCTCTTGATTTCTTTACACTGCTGCTTTACAGGGCAGGGAGAGAGTAGTTAAGGTGTTCCGAATTGGGACATGAAAATTTATAGACCAGAGAGCCTTCGCTTTGTTTATTTATTCAGCCCAGGTGGGACCCTAGATCCCAACTGCCAGAGTTCGAATTCTGATTCAGCCACTTAAAACATGACCCCAGGCAACTTAAATCACTTTTCTTGCTTCAGTTTTCTCATTTGTAAGTAGGGCTATTAATAGTGCCGACCCCATGGAGTTATTGTAAGAATTAAAGGAACATCAACATTTATCTTGCCATAACGCTGGCCACTTTATTCTTTCCCATGATGAAGCCTGAGCGGTCTGGGCTGGTTGCTTTACCCTTGCAATCACCCTCCTCCCTGTCCTCTGCCTGGCATCTGTCGCCAGCATCTTGCTGATCCGTCTTTACAGCGCCCCTGACAGCCACCTCTTTCGTCCGTGCCCAGCACCTCCTGTTTGGGGCCCTCATTGCCCTCGGCCAAGACTGTTACAATCGCCTCCTAACTGGTCCCTTGCCTCCATCCTTCACAGAGTTGTCAGATCGATCTTCGTGGAACACCGTTCTTGTCATGTCACTGGCCTGCTCAAAAACCTTCAGTGGCTCCTAGGGGAGCAAGCTCGAAGCCTTCAATGGTTGTCCTCCACTGTACATCCCAATTGGACCTTCCAGACCCTCTCACTCCAAGCCCCTCGCACCTGTGTGCTTGGCTCCTCCCAACTCAAACCCTTCTTACCCCTGTGCACTTGCTTATGCCGCCTTCTTCCCAGACTGTCCTCCTCTGTGCTCAGCCACGCCCGCTCCACCATCCTTCCTGGTCCAGCTTAGATCCTGCCTCCCCTGCAAGTCCTCCCGAAACCCAGTGGCACTAACTCTACCTTTCACTCAGCCCCAGTGTGCCCTGCGGTTGCTCACTCTTTTCATGGGGACCTGACCCAATTCTATCTGTTCATGCTGCCATGGCAGGGCAGGGGGGTGGATTCCCCACAGCCCTGGCACGGTGCTGGGGGCAGAGAAGGGGTCGATAAGTTTGTGTTGGTTAATTGACTGGGGGAGGGCCTGGGTCAGCTGCTGTCCCATGGCATCTCTGCTTGCCAGGTCCATGGGCCCTGACACGTCTTAGTTGGCACCTTCTTCTTTTTACTCCTGGCTGTTGTTGTTTTATTTTAGTCTCTGGAGCAAGGGAACCCTCAGCCTCCCTCCCTCCATCAAAGAAAGGGAAGGGATGAGATTTGCTGGGAGCAGCGCAAGTCTGGTCAGTGTGCTCTGCAGCTAATGCATGCATGTGTGTGTAAACGGGGGCGAGGCTCAACCCTCTCTCCTTCGGCTAGTCCTTCTGCCCTCTATCTGCTTCTCTAATGCTCTTGCCCTCCAGAGACCCCACCCTACAAGACGAGTAGACCGGCCTAGGGAGAGGAGGGAGAGGAAAGGAACTAAAGGCCCACCTGTCCTCCTTCCTGCTCCTGCTCCTGCCAACTCCTGGAGCTGCTACAGGAAGGGCTGTCTTAGGTGGACATGAGCCTCCCCTGCTGGTGAGCTCAGGAACAGCTGGGATGGGCCCTGGTGGGTGGTTTGAAGGATGCAGTCCCCGAGGGCCTGGAAAGTGTGTCTGGGAGGCTAGCACTTTTGTTCACACCTGCTGACCCTCCTTTCTCCCGGGACTCCCTCTTGCAAGGTCTCTTAGGCTTGATCCTCTACCAAGAAGTCTCTGTTTCCCTTGAACTCCCATAGCTTTTCCCTCTCTGCTTGTTGGTTGTCACTTAGGTTTTATGCCTTACCATGGGTTCCCAAGCCTTCAGGATTCAGGGGAAAGAGGTGACATTTCATGAGCAGCTACCTATGAACCAGGTGTTTGACTAGATGCCGTGTACCGTATCTCATCTAAGCTCTACAAGGTTGGGTGTTTCTAAAATCCCCATTTTATAGCCTAGACAACTGAGTCAGCGAGATTAAGTTCACTATGACTAGTAGGTGTTCATTTGTGTTTCTTCTGCAGATCCTGGCAGGGAGGGGGGGGGGGAGCCAGGGGGCGCTTACACATACCAGATGCTCAGAAAATATTTATGTGACACTGGACTCTGCTACATCTAAGGGCAGTTCAGGTTGAGGGTTGGGTTTGGTAGAGGAGGGTAAAGTGGGAGAAGCTTGTAGGACAGGAGGAAAGACAGGGCCCAAGGTCTGGTTGGTGTTGCCCACTGTCCTTGTGTGGCTGGGTGACCCCAGTCCCTGAAGGGCCTCAGCCAGTCACTTCCTGCTACCAGCTCCCCCCCCCCACCCCCAGGAGGAATTAGTGGGAACCACCCCTGGGAGTCCCCTGCTGCTTTCTCAGCCCTTTCACCAGAAAGGGGTGGGAACAGGGCAGAGCTCCCAGATGTTTCAGAGTGTTTTCCTCCTGATGCCCAGCCAGGGTTAACAGACATTTAAAAGCATTTTTGGAGGAGGGAGAGGGATGTGCTGAGCAGTACCTTTGGACTTTGGAGGAGGGCCCTTAGAAGAGGGAAGAGCTGCCTGGGTTACAAAATGTGGGGGTGGAGGAGGACATCTGGGCCACCGGAGGGTCCCAGAAGTAGGGGAGGGGAGGGAGAAAGTGCATATAGGACAGGCTCCCAGCCTCTGGTCAGAGACCACTCAGCAGTGTGATTCCTGTTGGGTTCCAGTCCTTTAGCCTACACTTTCCTGAATTTTCTGAAGGCGGTTCCTTAAGACGCCTAACGTTTGGGAAGAAGCCAGGAGACCCTGTCAGATGTAAACTCATTTCCTAGAACCTGAGAGGAATGACAGGAGGGCAGCCCGAACGGGGCTCTCCCCAGCTCCACTCCCCAAGCCCTCTTGGCAGGTCCAACACTAACAGGCTGGTGCCTTCAGGACACCTGTCAATGGCCCGGGGCCGAGGAGAGCGAGGGCCGACGCCCCAGGATTCGACAGGTGAGAAGAGGCGTTCGGGGGAGCCCTGCGCCCCGAGCTTCCCAGGCTGCGGAAGCCGCGCGCCCGCCAATCCGCAAGATGGAAGTTGCTCCCTCTAGCTTTCCCACCGGCGAAGGCTGCCGGTGTTGTGAGCGACCCCTCCCTTCACGCCCAGATCGGTTTCCAGCACTTGCTCTTTGCTAGAGTCTTGTTCATTTAAAAACGCATCTTAAAAGGCGCCGCCAACGGCACCTGGGATCGAGCTCAGATCCGAGGTTGGGTAGGGCGGAAAGTTTACGAGGCACGGCGCGTACCCCAGCACCGCACACGGGGCGGGCGCCGAGCTGCGTGAAGGAATGTGTGCGCCGGAGCCGAGGGAGGCAGGCAGCGCTAACCTAGCTAAGGAGGTGTCCGGAGGGAGCGTGAAATGGGGTGCCCGGCGTGCGTGGGTGTGTGCCTCCGCCGCCTCCCCCGTCTTGCCGGAACGTGTCTGCAACCTCACATCTCCTTCAGCCCTTTCCCAGCCTGACGCTTCCTTTTCGGTGTTTCTGCGCGTTTATTGTAAATTCCGTGCCTAAAACACCCCAGTAAGCCTGGCCCATCGACAGATGGATCAATCGCCCCCTTCCCGGCTGGGGGAAGGGGACCCCACCCGGAGCCTCGGAAGCGGGGAGCTGCCGGCTGCCTCGGGAGAGCTACCTACAACCCACCCAGCCGCCACGCGCGGGCAGCGAGCCTGGCGCCGAGTCCTGGCCGGGGCGGTCTTGGGGCGCTCCCGCCGGGGTGGGGTGCCGGTCCTCGCCGGACCTCTTCGGCGCGGTTCGGGCAGGTTCGCCGGCCTCGGAGGCCGCAGCGAGGGCGTCTGGGCGCAGCAGTCTTCTGCCCGCGCCGGGGAGGGGAGACACCGGGGAAGGGTCTCAAAGGGCTGCGACGATGGGCGTGCGAGGGGCGAGCGCGCTGCGGGCCTGCGGGGAAAGTTCTCGCGCTCCGCGTGGAGATCACACGTGTGTGCGTGCGAGGGGCTAGACCCGGGCCGGCTGGCCTCGCGGGGACGCCGGCGGCTGGCGCTCTAGGGGGTCCTTCTTTTCCACGGCGCCTTCGGGGAGACGCTTGGTTTCGGTTCCCTGGCCAAGGACGCATCCGCCCGCCGAGGGTGCAGCCTTTTCCCCAGACCCAGGCCACCAAGATGGGCTTTTTCTAGCGCCCCTCCCCCAGCCCCTGGGAGGCTCGGGCGCTCTGGCTGCGCGCCCTCCAGCCTCCACTCTGCCTCCTCGCGCGTCCGGGACCCGGTGGCCGAGTGGGCGGGGCAGGAGCCCTAGGGGTTGGAGGGCGAAGCCTGCCCAGAGGGGTGGGGCCCGCGGCGCGGGGAGGAGGCGGGCGCGGAGGCTCAGGGGGTTGCGCCGCAGCCCGGAGTCGGTCAGTTTCCGGCCGGGGCGGCAGGTCAGTCCGAGGAAGGGCGGGGGGCCGAGCTCTCCTCT